GAGTGTTTGGTGCGGCAGCAGATACCTGGACCACGGGACAGCCACCAGCACTGCCACCCAGGCACGGGTCTGCCCGGCCAGGCAGCAGAGTCCCAGGGGAGTGCCAGCAATGTCTCCCTGAGGACACAGACCCCATCTGCGGGCCCTAAGGCACCCTGTGTCCCTCCAAGTGAGAAAGGTAACACCTCCCATCCAGTTACAGCCAACAGCACCTCGTTTCTGTGTCCTTCCAGCAAGAAATGGTTCCTTGGGAGGGACGTGCCCCATCCAGCCCCCGGCACAAGCACCCCAGGGCTCTGCAGCTCTCCCAGCACACAGCCCAGCCCACTCACCCGGTTGAACTGGGACCAGGACACTGTGGTGCTGCTGTAGTCCTCCAGGTGGGAGCTGGTGCTGTTGAAGAGCTTCTGTGCCAGGAACACCAAGTTCTCCTTGGTCAGCCCACGGCTGCTCTGCACCTCCGCCTTGAACTTCATGTTGAGCGCCTCACAGAGCTGCGGCCACTGCACCTTGTCAGGGACAGCAAAGGGCACACGGCCCTGGGGGGGACACGGAGCAGGGTCAGCACCAAGCTCCACCCAACACCTGCTGGCACATCCCCACCAGGAGACTGAGCCCAATTCCCACAGCCCCCCGGGGCAGACGGGGCATGTCCTGTCCCCCATGGCGCTGGCACTCACAGGCTCGGCAAAGGCGTTGTCCCAGAGCACGGTGGCCGTGGCATTGTTGTCCTGGCTTCCGTGCACGATCACCACCACGGGCAGGGACAGCGTCTGCCAGGAGGAAGAAGACCAGGATGGGCTGTGGGGCAGTGCAGGAGTGTTGCCCATGGGCACCCTGTGGCCCCAGCTCAGCCCCACACCCGTGGGCACGGTGCACATGGCTCACCCAGGCCCTACAGAGGGGACGTGGCCAGTGGCTTTACCTTCACCTGGAAGACCAGCTCGTTGCCACCAACACTGAACTGCGACTCAAAGAGGATGGTGAACTTCTCCTCTGTCACCGACTCGGCCCCGCGACGGTCTGAGCGCTTGATCCGCTTCAGGGACTGTGGAGACACACAGGGTGAGCATGGAGGGACAGATGGGGACACAAGGGGGACACTGGGGTGAACACAGGGGGGATGCAACACAGAAAGGGACACAAGGG